ATGACACGAAACATTTTTATTCAATAAGTTTAAAAATCTCATTAATTTAATTTTATGGAATGTGAAATAAGAAATGAGACCTAATATAATATGTTTACTTAGTAAAGTACATGTATATGATCAAATTGATCGATTTTAATCTTGTGTGGTCAACAATTGCATGGAATAAACTGATCTTCATTGATCAAAAATCGAAGATCGGTCTCTGATTTGGCTGTATTGTGTACAAGTCTTCCGCCCCGGGGTAGAACGGGGTACAACTTGTATATTCCATGTAAATTGTAGTGGTCAGCGTAACAATGGGCACTAATTACCTTTTGTTCCTCGTCTGCGGCCACCGGTGTACATAATAAACAAACTACCTACACTGTACATGTACTTTCTTCTTTGAGCAGGAAAATCTTTACGGTCGCACGGAAAAAAAATTATCCTGTAATATTCAATTTGTTGACGAATAAAATTAAAAATTGGAAAAAAAAAACTGTTTAGCAAAATAGAACATTGCAGTACTAAGATAAAAAAAGAAAAAGAAATGAAGTTATATACATTGTACAGACTTAATATTCAATAATTATTTTAATTCACATAAATCTATCTTTGCTCTGTATTTAATTTTATTTGTTAGTTTTATGCACATTTCTTGACATGCTTGAGATAAATTTAAAAGAAAATCTCAGGGAGGGGGCTACATGTATTTTCAATTCTGAATCTCGGTTAACGATGGTTTGGGGCCCGTGAAACGGAGACGAGAAATATATTGATACGGAACATTTGACTTCATCTTATAAATAAAATATTATGCAAAATGTACATATAAATTTAAAAAAAAAATAGATGGTTTAGTGAAAGCAATTATTGAAATTATATTAGCATTAACTGTTCACAATTCAGAAACAGGGAATTGAACTCCACATCGCTCAGAATCCGTGAAAAAAAATCTTTTATGAATTTTGAATGATAGTAACATGACGTTGTTTATCGCACTCATGAATAAATGTTATAGTTCTAAATTTGGTATCGTTCATTGATTCTCTAAAATAATTTTATTCATGTATATAAAAAATATGTAATAAGTAATTATAACATGTATGACTTATTAAACATAAAACTAAAGAATCAACCTTGCGCGTATCAGTTTTAAGTTCACAGTATTTCACCCCCCCCCCTCACCCCCCCTTCCCCACCAACCCCCTTTTTGTGCTACACTAAAGCATAATCAAGTCGGTAAGCGCCCAGCCTGTACTGTTCGTTTATACAAAGGTCTCCGACAAGGAGAAAATGGAATAAAAAAACATTATAATCTCTCTACAAAACTATTTTTAATTTTACAAAATACACAGAATGTACTAATAAATGACCCGATTTTCAGAACGAAAGTAGAACTTTTACACGTGGTTGACATACATGTGTGTTCCAGAACAGCAATTAAGCTAGATGGCATTAATGGACGAAAGTAACTTCAAGTTTTGTTTTATTTTATTTTGTTTTGTTTTTTTTAACTGACTGACCGCGTATAACATGTATAAGCAGTTATTTACTGATCTCCCTGATACTGGCGTGTATCCATAGACCTAACGCAGATAACAAAGAATTAAAGAAAGACGTGTGTTTCATTGATTGAAAATCACACTGCATAAGATTTATAGTGTACTGATGGCTTAACAATTAAAATAATAATAACGATAATAATAATAATATATTAAAAAAACAAAACAAAAAAAACAAAAACAAAAACAAAAACAGAAAAAAAAAACAACAACAACAACGAAAGATAGAAAGCGTCGATACCAAACAATGATATCAAATTCGCATCGAGGACATAATCAAAGATCTAGAGCGCACAGGCTATATGTATATAAAAGAGATTATTCTACAAATTAAAGATGTTTTATTTTTATTATTTAAACCTGTCACATTCTTCAATAAAATTGCATAGTGTACACAACATAAAATCAGAATAGACTTTTTTGTGAGATATATTAAATACTGGCTAAAGTGTTCTTAAAATGAGAGTTGTATGTAAATAGAGAGGGGGGGGGGGTGGCAACTTATAAAGCTCATAGATGTTCAGTTCTCCACAAGGAAAAATAAATTGACAATAAAAACCATTGACTATATTAAAGATGCCCTCTAAAAGCTTTTGATGACAATACAAATACACGTGGAAAAAATATGAGATGGGATTTCTTTTTAACCTTTAAAAATAAAAACTTGTTTTAAAAAGTATTTGGGGAGAAAAACCCACTGCAATAACAACACAATTATTATTTTCAACAGATATTGAAAACTTTGTGAAAGGAGAAATATAAAGGTAAAGAAAAACACAAATATTTATGATCTAATTTTAACATTTTGGTGTAAAAATGATTATAATAAAATTAATACATGAAATATGAAAACAAATAAAATGTGACTTTTTTTCCTAGAATATTTTTTTTTGTTAGAATACTGTAATGAATTTGTTGATAAAATACTTTCTTTAAAACAAATAATCATTTCTTAGGCTATTTTAAAAACAATGACCACAGTAATTATCAGTAAATCTCAGCATCGACAGCACATCAACAGTATTTATCAGTATTTATCAGACTCCACAGTAAAGACGACAGTAATTATCAGTATTTATCAGAAACAACTAAAATAATCAGCAACAGTAAATATCAGTATTTATCAGCAAGAACAGCACCGTATCAGTAATTATCAAACATTATCAGTAAAATTTGGGATTCTCAGCACTTTTTTCGTCCAGTAGTGAGCCAAACGACACAATAAAAAGAGAATTATTTCGAAGACGTGTTGTAACTATATAAGAGAAAATCACTAATGTTTATTTATTTAAACCTGAAAATACAGACATTCATTACAAATTCTCGCAATCATCGTTAAATAGCTTTTTTGAGCTCTATTTCCTTATATGGATCTATCAAGGCGGAGCAACTGTCATGACGTCAAACCTCATTATGACCTCATTACCATATTATCTTCATGTGTAGCCTTAACTGTACTGCGTAACCAATTTCTGTGAGCTTTGAACCAAAAATATTTTTTTAAAAAGTACTTTAGAATTATTTTTCCTTTCAAACAAAGTGCTTTGAAAAAAGAGAAATGCAACCATTATCAGATTCATACAGCACTGCACAACTTTATATTCAAAACCGGATACGCATAATTAAAGATTGAGATGTGAATTTAGAGTGATGGAAAATTACCAGTAAAATTATCTGATATATGCTGCATGATTAAAATTGAATTTCAAATAGGAACTGTTCGTATGAAACAATGAATGTTTTAAGGTATGTAGAACGCGTTTCTAAATATTTTGAGTTAAAATATAATGTGAAAAAATGACTTTGAAGTTTGATGTAGTTTTGAGAAGCTATAATCTTTACCATTACTGTCTTTAAATCAATAATTTATGTCTTTTCTGTACGGTGCACAGACTAGACAGGACACACAAACAAGCCAGTTACAATATGCGATAAACAACTGCGACTCATCAACTTAGACACCAAAATCGCCCACAAGACACCACGATTCTTCAAATCTGCTTATTCTACTTAAATACAAACCCTTTCACACTCAAAGTAAAAACACTCAAAATTAGTTTTCTGGATTTTATTATCTGCGCTACATTACTTTGTTAAAAATCTTTACTGCGCATATTTTGATAATCAAAAAAAATTTCATCAATCCTGTGGAAATTAAAATGAAATGCGATATTTTCACATTTCTCTGTGTTGTTGTGATCAAATTAAGAAGATAATCCAAATATAATCAAATAAATTATATTTGCATATTTATCAATAAATTTATATATTTCATTTTTGTTAACCCTTAAAAATGCAAAGCAATACAAAACCGATCACATATTGAAAAAAATCATTTTCAGATGATGCCAAATTTGATTCCAAAATTTTCACAAAAGCCAAATTTTATCAATTTGGTTTGAAGCTAAATAAGAGGCCCAAATAGTGACCAAGCCAACTTAGACGCCTGGTCATGTTGCGCTGTATACGTTTTCTCGGTGTCGTGGCGACCTTAAAATTATCCTTTCGAGAAATCCTTAATTTTCTTTAATCTGCTACTTCCCTGACAAAAATGCACTATAGTTAGCTACAGCAAATATTTTGAAAATTTCATTTACTATGCAACTTTACTCTAGAACATTTTTAAAGATTTAGAGCCTTAATATTTCTTAAAATGCATATCAGTGATTTAATTTTTTGATATAATACGTAAATTCACAAGTAATATATATATAGTTAACTATAGTTTACTATGGTACATTTTTTCATGATTGTCACACATACTAGAAGGATAAAAAGACGTGTTGATATAAAAACAAAAATTTAGCTTCGTAAATAGATCCCTTGAGTTCTTGAATCGATCGCAATTTAAAAGGTGGACATACAAGATCATCTTTTTCAAGGGTATTCCAAAGGTTACAGAATGAGGTTGGACACTTAAAGGCTTAAAATATAGCATTTGTAAATACATCTTAAACTATTGCTGATTTACTATATATATATGAAGAATATGTTCTTGTTGATGATTCAGCACTCGCCTTTTCCAGTTTTGAAAGATAGAATGATGGATCAAAACATAATGGCTGCTAGTTTTAAGCATTCTCTGCTGCTTCCTATTATTGAACACTGAATAGAGGCTTGGTAAACAGCAGGTTTACATGGTTTTGGTAACCTCATTGATGAGGGGTCTTCTAGTTTTCGTGCCACGAAAACATGGCTAAAATATTAAACTTCGGCTTCTAAAAACAGGAGGCTTTTTATTCATCAAATGGACATTCATTTTGTTTTTGGAATAAGATTGAAATGGATGCAGTGTTTTGCTAAAACTGTCATGTAAAATATACATAAATATCTTTTTAAAAAAAGAAAAAAAAAAAAAAGAAAAAGCGAAATGCTTTTTATTGTAATTTATATTATCAATATCATTTTCTTAAGTGTTTTCCTTGTAATGTGTCCTTTTTTTTTTAGCAACCGATTCCTGCTTTTCGGATTTGCATGTTCGTTTATCTTAATCACTTTGTATATGTATATGGAAAAGATGATTGGAAAGGATATCATCCAAAACGCTGCGCAAAATGTTAATGAATATTACACTCAAAAGAAAGACCAGCTTTTCAATTATCAACCAGTGGTGGGAGAAAAAGCAATCAATATATCACAACAACCGACAAAAAAAATAAAATTGATGGCGAAAACAATTCATGGTCAGGCTGCATATACAGAAGATTCATGTGATATTGAAACTGAACGATATTATAAAAAGAACGCAATCATAAATTATAGCAATCCATTTAACAGTAAGTAATACCGTCCACAAATTATTTTACAGTATTAAAGAAATAACGATATACAAATAAATATATTTAATAATAAATATTGGTATTGGCTTCTATAGCAAAATCTAAATATCATTCTGTTTAACAGACATAAAAAAAACCCAAAACAAAACAATTTCTCCTTTCTTAAATTTGAAAAGAGAAAAAAAAATCAAAGAGAACAAATTTAAATCAATTAAAAGGAGGATGAAAAAATCGAAAAAGTATATTCCAACTAAAAAATTCTTTTGATGATTAGATGATCATATTTTTTTTTTCAGATTTTACACCTATTGGTGGGTCGGACTGGCGATTCCTAACTACAATTCCTTGCATAAATTTGAATGAAACGATTTTCGTTAAGTCGAGTGAAGAAAAAGAACAGCTGATTCCTACATGCTACGAAAATTATGTGCATATCGAAAGAAGCAGAAACTCAAAGTATATTCATGTCTTTAATTTTCCAGATAAATGTTTGAAAAGAGTCGTATCTAAATTTTGTTCAGACAATCTCCCTGTTCCAAACATAGTGCATTATATATGGTTTGGAAAGCAAGAATTTGAGTTTGTTTATTTTGTTAGTTTTTACAGCGCACACAAAAATCAGAACCCCTGTCTAATATTTCTTTATTATGATGTTTTACCCTTTGGAAAGTGGTGGGACATACTTGTGAAATTGGTCACAAACATTGTGTATGTAAAAGTTACACCACCAGCCGAAATTTTAGGAAAGAAAATCAACTGGGTGCAACATAAAGCTGATATCATGAGACTTAGAATATTGAAAGGTATAATTTTGATTGATTCGTTTTTATTTGTTACTCAAATAGATGAATAAATCATTATATATATATATATATATATATATATATATATATATATATATATATATATATATATATATATATATATATATATATATATATATATATATATATATATATAATTGGAGCCGGTAAAAAATTATGTTTTCAGCATTTTCTCTTCCATGTGCGCATGTACATGCGTTTAATTTCTTTCTTCCTTTTTTTTTTTTGTTTATTCCAGAATACGGGGGTATATATCTTGATACAGACCAATACGTCCTCAGATCGCTAAATGCATTCCGAAACAAGGACTGCACTATGGGAGCAGCGCATGATGGATCTATGGCTAGCGCATTGATATTTGCAGTCGAAAATGCTACATTTATTAACAAGTGGATCGACAGCTACGCCTCATACAATCCAAACGTTTGGGGCGAAAACTCGGTAACAATGGCAAGAAAACTTTCCATAAGGTATCCACAACATGTTCGTTCGTATGAACATCATTGCCTTTTCTTTCCTCATGGATATTTGTTGTTTAACCAGAATTACAAATGGTCACATTGTTTTGGAATTCATCTTTATGGTAAAAGACCACGATGGAATGAAATCAGAAAATGGAGTCTTGTTACCATACAAAAATTAAACAATACAATTGGCGCAGTTTTTAGGTATATCCTGTTTGGTCACAAAGACCTGTGCAATTAGTTCAAAGAATCAAGTCGTATTTAAGTATTTCCCTTCTCATTTTTTAGACATGATTTTCTTTTTTTCCATGTATTTATTTATTTGATTATTCATTTTTTGATTAGATCATAAGCTTAGTTCAAGTAATCACATATATATTGTTATCGAGAAAAGCACAACTATTTACACCAATAATTGGTTCCTCTCAATGTGTAATATAATACAGTTACTTAATAATTCCTCACATTTGTTACAAAAATAAGTGTATGTAACAAGAACTCTTCCAGTCTTTGTCCGTGACATTTAACGTCAACAGTTTTTGGCAATGATTTTATTTTACTGACTATTTTGACTTTAGTGTATGATGTGAAAACCCCCTGTTTATTACGTTCCCCAGACAAATTTAGGGAATATGTTTTCTTTGTTCTGTTTCTTCTTATTATTAGATCACCCCAAGCGAAGTCGGGGAGACATATTGTTATTGTTCGACTAATAAAGCTTTTCGCACAGTATCTTGAAAATTGCCCGGTCAATCTTGATGAAAAAATCCACTGTCATAATGATCGCCTACTAAAGACGTTCGATCCTTGTTCAAAGTTTTTAAAGTGGCCACTGTTTTCATGGAAACGGACCAAAATGTATTTTTTTTTTAATTTCATCGTTCTCTGTAATTTTTAATCCAATTTTTTTGAAATGTTAAAGAAGTATTCCTTACGTCATGGACAAAAAAAAAAAAAAAAAAAAAAAAAAAAAAAAAAAAGGAAAAGGATGGATAGGAAACACAATTAATTTAAGATATGTTGATGTCATGTGACCAATATTGCGACTAATTGCTCGTGATTTTATATGACAATGTTTTTTTGGAACTCGCCAAGACAATCTTATTGAAACCGTACAGAAATAATAATCACCAACTGAAATTGTGTTGACATCATTTAAAATTTTAAAATTTTAGATGGCTCTGACAATCTTATTGAAACATTTCATAGAAATAATAATAGCTATTCGTAGTTGTGCAGGTATCATTTAAAATTTTCAACAAGGTTTTTATCAGAAAAGAAAAAAAAAATAATTTAAGAAATGTTATTGATACGAATTGAAAAAAAAGGCTGCTGTACATACGTTTATGTCTCATCTTTTTAAAGCTATAAATTAGTCAGTTAATGTTTATTTATCTATGTCAGGATTGTCAAGTTACAGTTACTGTCGCTACTGTAATGATTTTCCCCTTAGATTAAAAAAAAAAAAATTCCCTGACATTTTCCTATCTCCCCCTGACTTTCTCCTATGATCCCCTGTCGTGTATGAATGACATGTAAATATAGTTTTATTTATTTATTGATCTATTAATTAAACAAATGTAAAAAAAAAAATAAATGAAAAGATGAAATAAATAAATAAGAAGAAATTAAAAAATAAATTGATTGATACATGTAAAACAAATAAATTGTTAAATGAATAAATAAGTAAATAAATAAATGAATATATAGATTTTGTCACTAGGTATTCGTTTGAAGTATCTTTAGTAAGTTTCTTAATTTAATGTAATTTATTCATGTATCTTTTTATTTATTTCTTTGTATGTTTATTTATATATTTATTTTTTATTCCATTTATTTATTGTATCTATTTAATTCATTTTTACATATTTGTTTGATTTAATCATCAATAAATAAATTAATTTATTTACACTTTTTATTTATTTATTTCATTTATTTTAGATTATTGAATAATTTAATTTTATTCAATTTTTGTAGTTCCTCATAAACAGTCTCCCGGAAAAATAAATTATGCTTCAATTTTTTTTAAGCATATTCAAATTTCTTTCACATTCATGATGGGTATCAAAATCATAGTCTCATTACAAACAATCTGACTCTGGAATTTGTTTTATTGCTCCCTTTTACTTTGGTAAATAAAAATTTCCTCAAAAACGTGTCATGGTTGGGAAAGACATAACACCTGCAGAGTGGACACGGTCGTGCTGCCACAGAATATACAGTGTATAGTGGTCAGCCAAAAGGACAATGGGCGTCTGGTCTGGGTACCCAGGTCAACTTTCAACAGCTCAGAATTACTCTCCCAACCGTACAGTTTTTGAGGAACATTTCAATTTTTTGTACCAAAGTAAATGAAGTAATAAAACGAATTCCGAATTCAGATTTTGTGTAATAAGACGATTATTTTGATATCTATCATGAAATTAAAGGAATTAAAAGAAATGTAAATATGCTTTGAAAATAGTTTACAGCATTTTTTTCCCTCTAAGACTGTTTGTGCACAGCTACACAAATGAATTGAATTGAGTACAATTAATTAATTAATCAAAATAAAATGAATTAACAAAATGAATAAATGAAGATATAACATTCCTTCAGTAATTAATAATTGAATAAAACAAATATCTAAAATAATAATAATAATAATAATAATAGATTAAAGAAATATGTAAATAAATGAATAAATAGAAAGATAAAAAAATAAATGAATAAGTACATAAATAAATAGATAATTAGATAGATAAATAGATAAATAAATAAATAAATAAATAAATAAAAATATAGATTTTCTCACTAGTTATTTGTTTGAAAAATCTTTGCTTAATTCTTTCAAAATATGATTATGTTGATTGTTTGGTAGCTTTTCAGATAAATCTTAAGTAGAATAAATGCCAGTTAAATTGAGAATAATGTATTACCATTTTAATGCGACTTGTGTCGTATGAATGGAATGTAAGTCTAAATTTTATTTATTTATTTTTTTTAATTTATCTGCTTACACATTATTTCGTCTGTTTATTTATCAATTTATTTTTTCATTCATTTATTAATTCTATTTATTCAATCTATTTATTTAATTCATTGTTAGAAATTTCTTTTATTTTATTATTAATGAATAAATTAATTCATTTAAAATATTTATTTATTTATTTTATTTTATTTCATTTATTTTGATTAATCAATCAATTTAATTAATTCAATTCAAGCTGTGTAGTTCTACATAAACAAACTTTGGGTAATATATATATATATATATATATATATATATATATATATATATATATATATATATATATATATATATATATATATATATATATATATATATATATATATATATATATATATATATATATATATATATATGCTTCAAACTATTTTTAAGCATATTCAAATTACTCTTAATTCTTTTAAGTCCATGATGGGTATCAAAATCATCGTCTCATTACAAACAATCTGACTCTAGAATAATATTTTATTGCTACTTTTAATTTGGTAAAAATAATTGTTCCTCAAAACCCTGTCATGGTTGTGCAAGAAATAACAGCTGCAGAGTGGATACGGTCGTGCTGCCACAGAATAAACAGTGTATAGTGATCAGTCAATGGGTGTCTGGTCTGTGTACCTAGAGTCACGGGGACAACTATCAACAGCTCGGAATTACTCTCACAACCGTGACAGTTTTTGAGGAACATTTGTATTTTTTGTACCAAAGTAAAAGTTGCAATAAAACAAATTCCGAATTCATATTGTGTGAATAAGACGATTATTTTGATAATCATCATGAAATTAAAGGAATTAAAAGAAATGTAAATATGCTTAGAAAATAGTTTGAATCATATTTTGTTTTATCTTTCGACTATTTATGCGGAACCCACAAATAAATTCAATAAAGTTAATTAATTAATTAAAAAATGAATTAAAAACTAACAAAATATATAATATTAATCAATAGATATATACAAAGCACTAAAAATGACCAACGACACGAACAATAATAATTGTAATAACAATATTATACAATATGATATTATAACAATTGTAATTGTAATTGTAATAATTGGTCATTTTTAGTGCTTTGTATAAATTTTTATCCGTGACCTTGTATCTACTTAGTAGATCCGACATTTAGGATATACAGTGTTGTTGGTTCTTAGTGCTTTATATATAACAATTGACTAAATGTATATTTTCGCAAATCTTAAGAACTGCCAAGAGTAGCGCGTTTCTCACAAGTAAATAGCAACAAAAACATATTTAACCCTTTTTCTGGGTCAAAATGAATGTCAGTGGACGACAGGGAGTTAACAGGCTGGTCAGGGACTTAGTCAGGGGATTTCAGGGAGTTGCCAGGGACGTCAGGGAATGTCAGGGGACATCAGGGGTTAGACAGTTGTAACAGAGGCAAAGTCAGGGGACGTCAGGGACAACGACAGGGGATCATAGGAGAAAATCAGGAGGAGACAGGAAAATGCGAGGGACTGAGACATGGGAAGGTAAGGTTTTTTTTTTTTTTTTTTTTTTTGTTTTTCTTTCTTTTTGTGATCTAAGGGGAAAATTATTATAGTAGTGGCATGTGCTATTGTATTGTATATTTTGTTGTGAATGCAAAATATACACATTTGTGATATCTCTCTATTATATAAACATGCAGAGAGCAAATATCTTCATACCTGTATGAAGCTTTTTGAAGGTCATAGGTCATTATGTGACCTAATCACACGGCGCAAACGTAAAATGACCTGCGCTATTTAGCAGTTATAGAATGCTTTTAATGTACAAAAAATGTGCAAAATACGCAAGTGAAATAATAATTGTTTTCTTTAAAATGTAAACAAGTAACTAATCTTAGTAGTTCTTTGACAATTTTACATAGAGAAGAAAAAACTATGTGTTATAAGTTTTATATCAGCCTGCAAATAATCATAACTAACAGGTAATAATAAAAAAATATAAACGAACAGAACACGTATTAAAACTCTACTGGTTTCTAATAAAACATCAGGAATTTCTTCAAACTCCTGATGATATAATTGAAACGTGTAGAATTTAAATCGACGTTCCCTTACATTTAATATATATATATATATATATATATATATATATATATATATATATATATATATATATATATATATATATATATATATATATATATATATATATATATATATATATATATATATATATATATATATATATATATATATATCTTTATATATATATATTCTTTGTGGGAGATATCCCACAAACCTGGTATGGATGCAAACACAATTATATATAGCATACAATTGAATATGATTTCTATTGGAGCTCAAAAAACCACATATCATTTTATCAGACTAGTATATAGGTTTTTTTTCTTCGAGATAAATTTTCATAAAAGCACCTGTAAGAACTAGAGCTGTGTCCTAAGAGAAATAGAGCACCCCGTGGGACATGAGAAGACAGATTTGTACTAATACATTAAACAGAACACCCAGAGATTCGCTAAGGAAGTTGTGAACTCCTTGTGATAAGTCAAAATTAAATACTGTTCTTAATGAATCACAGAAGTATGCAGTGTAGGCCAGATACAGCATGCAAAGCACCCATTGAAATGATCATCGATATGTACATGCACCTCAGGAGGAAGAAGTCTTATTTGTGTACCCCTTTTTATAAGCTGAAAACAGACCAAAAAGATTTCCTTAACCGGTGTCAAAGATCTGAAAAACGTCTTTAAAAAAAGATGCATCGTATATATAAGTTTGGTTTATAAATCCGCAAAGATAAGCTGGTAACAGACCACTTTCCTTAACTGAAATCATTGACGACTTAAGTGCTGCAAACGCAGCATAAAAATTGAGAGAACATTTCATAGTGATATGTATAGTAATTTATAGGCCTAAAAGAGGCCCTATAGAATCACAGGTTCCTTCCATTTTCAACAATTTAGACCTGACATTGAGTGCTAATATGTCATCTGTATCCTTTAACATTTCTAAATTGTCTGGAAATTAAGATACCATTTTAGATGTAGAACGTATAGGCTATTACAAAAAAAATTATACCAAATATACCTTATTTTATTGAAAAATAAAAAAAAAGTTATGGTTAGATAAGAGAACACACGAAAAGCCATTGACTGACCTTTATGCGATGATAGATGCTCTCAAAGGAAATTTAGGTCTTTTTACAATATATTATTTTAGCTTAAGAGAGTACATGCTATAACTAGTAAAGCAACACCATATTTACCAGGTTTCAATGAAAATTAAGAAAAAAGTTATGGTCAATTAAGAGAACACACCCGTATGGATTGACAGATCCTAACAGGATGATTGATGGATCCATGCTTTGTATGAAAATTCAAGTTTTCATTAAATATCAGAAGCTCTAATTTTATAAATCAGTAGCATTAAGAATTCTTAGACTGATTATTCACACCTGTAAATACATATTAAAAATTAATTAAACAAGGGCATCGCAAAGAGGAGCATCTCCTCGCAAAGAGCTTGTCTATAAATCAAGGGAGCATTCGACATCGATCCCGATGCAAATTACGTCACTTCCGTTTCGCACAGGACATAACCCACAAACAAACACATACACACGATGGATTGCGTTACTATATTCCCTCCAAATCCGTTGCGAGGGGGTAATTAGATTTTCAAGGCGTGTACCAAAGCTATCAGAGATATCCCTCATCTTCCTCTATTGTTCAAATGCAATGTGG